GTCTGTTGTGAGATATCAACTCACTGAAGACAATGGTGTACGGTGGCGAAACGTCGTGAATTGGTTGAACTTAGACATTAACAGCGTTGCATGCCGGCCGGTTCAGTGGTCTAATAGCTAAGCGCTCTCGCGTCAAACTGAAAGGTCGTGGGTTCGAATCTCGTTGGGGGGCGGGATTGTGGATGCGCACTCCAGGATGAGACGGCAGTCCAGTGCTTCCAGGTTTTCCATGATGGTAAATTAATAAACAATAAATAGTGAAATAATAGAATAATGATAATAAAGATAATTAAAGTAGAAAATAAAAAAAGAAAAGAAAAAAATTCAATGGATTCAACTTATTTTTCACTTGATTAGATTAATGTTGAACAAGGAAAAAAGAAAAGAGAAAAAAGAGAAAAAGAAAAGAAAGAAAAAAGAACAACAATATTTAAATCAACATAATTGATGAAATATCATCGATTACTAACCTATGTGCGTGTGTATGTGTGTAAAGGTGTGTGTGTGTTCGTGTATATATATATATATATATATATATATATATATATATATGTATTATATATACACTCCCTATTCCCCCCTTTCTCTCTTTTATCTAATTTCTTGTAAATAAATAAAAGGTACACGCACATATTTAAAAGAATAAAGAGGAAGTCTTAACAACAAGAATGATTAAGATTATTTTTTCTCTTTTTTTCTTTTTCTTCTCGTTCTTCTTCTTCTTCTGCATTTGTCCATTCTTCTTCTTCTTCGAACAATGAAGTGGATATGATAGATATATGATGCTTCATATGCATGATATATTCATTTGGTCATATCATTCTTTTTTTTTAAAAAAAAACAAACTAAATATTGGTGGTCATCATTATGATAAACTTATGATTGCCTATTATGTATATTGAAAGAGAAGATGATGATGATGATGAGGAGGAGGAGGAGGAGAAGGAGAAAGAAGAAACAGGTTATCGATCAAAAATAATGATAATAGCGATGATCAACATGATTATTACTATTATTCACTTGGTAACATATCAATCAGATGGGTGGAAGAAATCTAATCAAGATACTCATTATTATTACTATCGTTTAATAAATAGATTTTTTTTTTAAAAAATGATTCCCACTTGAGATTTATTCTTTCATATTTTCATCCATTAGAGAGATATATGAATACTGAGTCTTCAATAGTCAGTCATATGTAAACTAAGGAATAGGCATGTATATATATAGATGAATGTATAACTCAGGTAAAGTCAAGATGATACTCATCTACATTCATGTGTGTGTGTGTGAGCACGTATGTACGTATGTGTACATGTATCGTTTGCACACACACACACAGACACACACACACGCATACATACATACGTATTCGAACTTTGGCACTAAGATTGGTTATATTCACTTTTTATTATTGTTCTTATTATCATCAGATTATTTCTATTCTAAATATGAAGAGAAGAAATCAAATGGTTCAATGATTCAATAAAATCAAATGAATTTTGAAGAATAAAATCAATTCACTTGGTATTGTATTGCTTATAATCTTCTTATTATGGTTAAGAGATAAAGGTTTATTATTCAATATAGAATAGGAATGAATATGAATTGAAGTATGATTGAATATTATCAAAAACTTCTAGGCCCTGGGTTCGAATCTCGCGCGGGGAGGGGGCGGAATCGTGCATGTGCACTGCGGATAAGTTCCACAATAGGACGAAACGTCCATTCAGCACTTTCAGATTTTCCATGATGCTCTAGCTTTAATTGAATGAGGATGAATTCAATTCCTAAATCATAAACATATCTATTAACAAGTGGATATTAATTGAGATCAATCATTTCATTGTATTAATTACCATTTATTGATTACCGAATTTCTTTGTACTTCGTACCAAATTTATTTATTTCCGTTCATTTTTAAATGTTCAATAAAAATAGGTGATAAATTGTAATTATATGCAAAATTATTTAATCTTAATAAACAATTCTCTTATTGTGTAGATGGTTGTGTTTCTTTAGCATAGAATATTTTATAAATAAGTCAGAAAATTGTCCTTATCAGTATTGGGTTGTGAAGATGATCAAGTTTTTCATTGAGATTATGAGTCGATTTAAGCTGGACCACCATGGAAAAGACTCATTCAGAAGTGCAAATTCATGATCTCCCTCAAGGGATTCGAACCTAGGGAGACCGATTTCGCGTGCTCAGTGGTCTAAATGTTAAGCTTTCGCGTTCGGTTCATCATTTCAATCAGAAAATCGTCCCATTTATGATGACAATGAAGTTTATAACGATAGTACTAAGGATTTTTTTTTCTATTATTCATATATTTATATATATATTTCGAATTGTTAGACTTGATACCTGCTATATATCATACATAAATGCTAAATTAAAGAAATCATATGCTCGACAAGAAATTCGATATTTCATTTCAAACTACTAACTAATATAAAGTAGTTTAATTTGTATCATAAAATAAAGCAACCATGATAAGTATAAGGATGGAATTCAAGAAAACAGGTAAATGTACATAATGAGTTTACATATTTATGTTTGTACATATTAGAATTGATAGATAATAAAGAAGTAATTCCGTTGATGACATTTTCGAAATTAAAAAGAACTTCGTTAGTTTCATGTTAATATTAACACATGAAATTTAAATTGTTACATAATGGGACAGTTCTTAGCTTTATATCGATTTCACTTGGGAAATTGTTATATCCCGATAAGAATAATGAATGGTAACTATTGGGATCCATTTATGGACCAGTACTATGTCTATAATTGTTATGTAACTAAACTGTTCATATTTATGTTGCTCTCATTATAAGCTTTATTTTACCCTATGAACTGTTATTAGACGATTTACCATTCTTGAATTATCCCCTGTCTATTAGTCACTGCCTCCCACATTCATAGCCACATTTGGCTAGATCTTGTACAAATGTTGTTTCCTATTTTATGGTAAGATGTGGTCTATCTGGTTGGTATATAAACTTCGTGTGTTTAAAATACATGATTCATATCGCAGAGGCTGAGATTAGTGTTCTGGACTCAACTGGCTGGGCTAGGCGGAAAGCAGGATCAATTAGGACTCTAAACTGCTCGCACGTGTTTTATGCGTCATTGGTTCGATCGATAGTTCGCTGCTCTCTGATTGGCGGTATCGTTGTGTTATACAATAAACAGGGCACACAGGTTCACAAGTTATAACAAAAATGTAGAGTTCTAACAGTTTGAAACTAAAAAAGTCATTGAAAACATGGACTGTCGCTTCGTATTGATATGGAACCCCTAGGCAATACATATTCACAACTTCACAGCCAGTAGTTGAACCTAGGACTTCCGGTCTCGTACACGAATGCCTAACTTTCAAACTATTTAGTCAACAACCAGTAGTGTACACGTCTAACTTCGATTAATCTGTGATATTATGCAATTGTCTTCCATTGTTTTCGGTAGGTAACTTCTTTATACCATTTTGAGATGATAAACCAAGTCAGATATTTTCTTCAAGACGAATGTGTTGTCAAATCTTGAAGGGCAGTTATACACTTCTTTCGAAATGAACGACTGGGTTTATTGAAATTTTTGTTTACGAAACAATTGGCTCGACAATTTTGACGACACTACAATTTATAGACGACCTCTGAGCGAATCTTAAGTGACCTTAAAAAATATTAGCCAATCAGAAAACTTAGTATGAAGTAGAAAATATATTATACAAAACCAAAGAACTAAAGTGGGTACACTTCTTTTACATGGAGTACCAAAGAATTACATTAACCTTATAAAGGCTCTCTACTCGAACACAACAGGTAGAGTGACAGTTTACGGCGAATTGTCATCACAATTGATTACCTCAAGTGGTGCTCGTCAGGGCTTGTCATTGACGCACTTTTAGAGATAACACTCTCCTCATCTGACTTTCTAGAAGTTGAACTCCTACCGGGAGATTCACTTGTTGACTTAGTAGAATATGCCGATGACATAGTTCTATTTGGTGAAGACGCTAACAAAATGCAGAGTCTTCTGACCACTCTAAGCAACAATGCAAGCATGTTCGGCATGCGATTCTCCCCCTCGAAATGTAAAATGTTGCTTCAGGATTGGGTTGCATAAACACCCGAACTAATGATAGGGAGTGAAGTAATTGAGCGTGTCAACCACTTCACTTATCTGGGAAGTCTCATCAGCCATTGTGGTCTGGTGTGTGACGAAATCTCAGCACGGATACAGAAGGCTAGACTAGCTTTTGCCAATTTGCGTCATTTACGGCGTAGGCGAGATATCCATCTATCAAACAAAGGACGTGTTTACTGTGCAGCAGTTCGTTCCGTTCTTCTTTATGGCAGTGAAACATGGCCGTTAAGAGTAGAGGATATTCGTAGGTTACTAGTATTTGATCATAGGTGTCTTCGAAATGTTGCTCGTATATTCTGGGACCGCCGAGTAAGTAATTCAATTGTTGGGAAACGGGTACTAGGTAAGGATGGCAAATCAATTGGTGAGATAGTGAAAGTTCATCAGTTGAGATGACTGGGACACGTGTTACGTATGCACAACCACCGACTGCCACGACTTGCGATGCTCAGTGGTGTAGGAGTAGATTGGAAGAAAGCTAGGAGCGGTCAGACCAAAACATGGCACAAATCTATGAAGTCACTGACGAGTGAACTGAGCCATGTTGGTAGGTGTAGACTACCTCGTTGGAATCCGCGAGATGATAGGAACCGATGGTTAGAGACCTTGAATGACGTGTCTCAAAATTGTCTGCAATGGTGTAGGTACATCCACTCTTTTTGTTCTCACAAATTCTTCATGTCGCCTTATTTATTTTTCCAAATTTATTCCACTGTATTATACTCCTTGAATAACATAATGATGCTAAAGAGTGTCAGTAACTTTTAAATATGTACACTCTGTGTTGTGTAAACATGAACTGAGTTACTAAGTGTTAAACTCGTGCACATTTTCTCCTTTTTTTCTTCATCATCCCTTACTACTTACTAATACTCAGTAGTCAGTTTATAGTTTTCAAAAGACTTTCAATTGACAGTATAGTGTACACTTGTGTTGTTTTCCTGTTTATCTTCATTTTCGGCTCTGTTGTAATTACAAACTCTTGACAGTTTACTCATAGTTGATTTCAGTTCTTTTTTGTCTGAAAATTTCTTTATTTAAAAAACACATATGATGACACATGATCTTAGCTCAGAGAGCCGAAAACCGACACAACAGCCTTTATAACTGTGCTCATATTCTCTATTTCATTGTTGACTTTTGACATATCTATCGGTTATCATTTACACTAACGTTTATTGTAATTAATGTTTATGCGATGACAGTAAGAAAGCATTTTCTGTTCTATTTTTTAAAAAAAGAAACGCGTTAACCATCACAGATACTTCATGAGCTGAGGGTTGTGATTAGGATTGTTCGTTGAGAGTAGACAAACAGCCACTAAGCCTATCAACTATTAAATAACTGATTTACTTTCCTCTCGTTGATTTCTACTCCGGACCCATTGAGTGTGACTAATTATAGCTGTGTTCAATAAATTGTTATTGATAAGGGGATTTTTGGAGATTTTCGTATTTTCAAAGTAGAATTCACGAGCCGATCTAAGCCAGACCATTATTGAAAAACTAAAAGCACTAGATGGCCATTTCGTCCCAGTATGGAAATTCTCAGAAGTACGCATCCACGATGTCGTATGTGAGATTCGTGAAGAATTAGCCTCTAGACCCCTAAGTCGGTGTCGAACGATGTTAATGTTTGACTTCAATCGATTCGGCGTTCGAAGCCCGTGCGTGGGATCCTGAGTACGCACTTATACGGAGTTTCATAATAAGACGAAATGGCCATTCAGTGCCTCTAGGATCTCAATATTGGTCTAGCTTAGATTGGCTAGTTGAATCATTTACAAGACAAAAGTTTTTTCTCGAATTAATATTCTCACATGTAGCTCAATTAATTAGTTAGATGATTGAGTAGGGTTTAATAGTGAGTTTCGTTAACCAGAAACTACGAGATACGAACTGATAAACTACTTTTGAAATACCAAAAAATGATAATGAAAATAATCAAATGACCACAAGATACAAGTAGAAAGAGAAAAGATAATGATTTGTGGAATGTATTCAAAGGGTTGAAGAATTCTGAACGACGGCCTATGCTCCACAGGGAGTAACAGAAGTAAATAAGTAAGTATTAAAAAGCTTGTATGTTATAAATAAACGTGAATAATACAAATCATTTGTTTTTCATCTAAAGGTTCTTCCTTCCATTTATTGTAATGGGATAATTGTCTCAACAGAAGAAAAGGCCCCTATCATATCTGAAAGAATAAAATATTTCCCATGGCTACATGAAGATTGTGATAATTAAAATATATAATACTTAATCATAATAATGACATAATGACAAGAATCGATATTTTTTTATTTGTTTTTAATGATGAACGAAAGAGATCCAAAAAACTCCTGGAAAAAAGGCTATGAAAACATTGAGAAACATCATATCCAATCAGCATTCAATAGAAGTCTTACCAGAAACATCTAAAAAGTGGAAAATCACATGTCGAGTTTCTGATTGGTTGATTACTTATACTGATCCTATGTTCTAGCAATTTCCGGAAACCTAAAGCCATCTGTACATAAACGAATCTTGGAGTAAAGCGTTTTTTTTTCATATTTCGCTCCTTTTCTCTCGTGTTCAAGTTACTGCGTAGATTTAGCCCGGTAGTTACTAGAAGAGCTTCGGAACTGAATCTAGTGTTCAATTAGGAGACTTATCACTTACGATCCATTATTGTTCAATATGGTGAATTAACAGAGGTAAGTTGTTGGATTTCAACTAGCGGTCTAGAAGTTAAGTGAGCGATGTGTAACCTAAAGATCTTGTGTTCAATCTCAGAAATTGGGTCGTCAGTGCGCACTGTTAGGAAGTCCTATACTACAAAGAAACAACTGTACGGTAATTTCTGGTTTTCAACAATTGTCAAACTAGGATCAGTTCGTAACGTAAACTATAACAACTAAAAAGAACTTAGATGGTTACATCAATGACTTATATCAGATGGAGAATCATTGAATAAACCAGTGAGGATTCTATGATTTATCAAGATTTTTCGCTGGTGTGCAAAAGACAACACAACGTAACATAGAACGAAGCTAAAAATTATCAGATTTTCCAACCAGTATGATACCACATAAATTTAAACCGGTAACAAAACTTATAAAATGCTCCCCCTCCTATATGGTATGTGGAGGGAAGTGGTAGATGATTCCTTTGAGAGACAGTACTTTTTTTATTAGAGACATTGATATTAGACAGAACAATGGCAAATAAACAGCCACTATAAACTACTGATGACGACTGAGAAACTTCATACAGTACAATGAGTCAAGGTTTGAATAGTCCACATCTAACAACTAAAATCACTCCAACTATTACTATTACTAATCCTTAACTGTTTCACTCTGTACATCGTTTTTGAACTCCAATCAACTGTAAATATTTCAGTTTTACCAGTTTGTGGAGGCTTGGAAAGCTCAGCGGTGATGTAGGTTCGAATCTTAACAAGCATATAAACCTAGATAGAACAGGTTTGTTGTAGAGTACCTACAAACGAGAATTATCTTCAAATTGAACGAATCTCTACAAACTTTCAATTCATATAACAACTATATTATTATTAGCTTTATTCAATATTATAGTTTTGATACAACATGGAATTTTCAGTGCAAAATATTTCAACAAGTTTCCTTTTCGTATTTCTTGAACGATTCTGACGATAAATATTGAGTGATTGCAAGTTATATGTTAGCAGTTCGGGAATCGACATTTGAATAAGGTTCGTTCTTTTCAATGGAAATTGCCAGACAACATCAGGGTGATGGTGAATGTACTTTTTCGTAACCTGTACAGTGAAATGTCGTAAACTTTTCATAAACGCACCTGAATAGGGTTGTACGCTCAATAGACATAATGATGTGTTAAAATAAACAAGAAAACAGATAACTTGTTGAAATATCTAAATGGTAGGAACAGTTAGCCCAGATATTTAAGCAGGCCGCCGACAGCTCAAAAATAACTATTTAAGGTAATTAGAGGTACTATACAAGAAACTTTGCCTGATCTAGATTTCGAGCTAGTTGTTATTTATCAGCAAGGGATATCTGTAACATCCTCAGTAAGATTCGAACCCTCGTCACCTAGTTTCACAGTCTCAAACATTAGTACAGACTATTCAGAAAGTGAATAATCTTCTTTACAACACAAATATATGTAATGAGAAACTCAAAGGTCTCAGTACAACCATATGTACTTATCTATTAATATAAGTAGTATTTCATTCAAATTAAAATGTTACACGGTAGAAATAGACAAACGGAAATGTGAAAAAAGAAATTTGTAAGATTGGAAATTGTCAGTGTTTACCTTTTTTGAATGAACAACCTTTTATAACGAGCTAAAAATTGCTAAAAAAAACAACAAACAAACACAGGAAGAAATAAGAAAAAGAACCAAGAAACAACAAATGATTGAATACATAAGTCAATTGAAATTAGATCATCATGGAAAACCTGGAAGTACTGGACGACCGTTCCGTCCTATTGTGGCACTCCTCAGCAGTGTGCATCCATGATCCCGCTTCTGTGACCAGTGGATTTTAACGGGGTCATTTGTGAGATAGGAACTCATTGATAACAATGGTGGATGTGTCGCTCGATTACGTGGATTAGTTAAAGTTAGACAGTTGGTCAAAGTGAAATTTAGTGTCAATCTATGATATCACTGACTATTGACAAGTTTAGAACACCTGGTTATGGTTTGAGTGATAATTGTGATCAGTAAGCGAAGAAATTGATTATGATAGAACTGATACATTTACTCTTTGTATTCCCATAGATTTGAGTCTCAGGATCCCGTCAAAAGATGTTACTTTATTGCTTCTTCTTCAATAGTATACTGAATGTTTAATAAGATGGTGGTTGGATGTAGTCAACAAGAAACCCTGGAGCTACGTTTCGTGCTACTTGGCACTCGTCATGAAGGTGACTGTGAAGCTGAGCGACACGGGATTAAATTCGTCAGATAGCATCAGTCCCCTCAAGATTACAGGTATACCTTGCTGACGAGTACCAAGTAGCAAGAAACCTAGGTCCAGGGTTTCCTGTTGACTACTTCCAACCACCATCTTATCACAACATAGTGCACATACAATGTCGAGTCACATAGATTAGTGGCCACATTGCAACTTGGTCGATATGATTCGATCTGTACTAAGAAGGACCTGACATACATGACAGTGGCCATTACCTAGTGATCAATCAAGTATCAATGTTTAATCTTTTTTAATATGGTTAATCCGAATATTATTTCAATTTTTTTATCTCATAGTGGTGGGCCCGACCAGCACGTCAGGGTAGCAGCTACAGTCGGGATAGATGAACGTGTACTCGGTCACTGTACCATATTACATAATAAAGTTGATTGAAATGATGTGCTTAAAGTAGATATTAGATTCATTCAACAAATATTAAGAATAGTCAGTATGGGGTTGTGGAGATTATTAAGTTTTTGATTGAGATGATGAACCGATTGATGTTAGACCACCACTGAAAACCTAGAAGCACTGGACGACCGTTCCGTCCTATTGTGGCACTCCTCAGCAGTGCGCATCCACGATCCCGCTTACGGGAACTGAGCCGGCATCCAACGGTATTAATGTCTAATTTCAACCAATCCACGAATGTGCGTGACCATCTTCCACTGCACTGACGTAGATACCTGTCTCTATCCGACATACTACGAATAAATTAAGTAATAAATCAGTGATCAGATTTCTTGTGTATGATTTTTATGGTGAAAAAATATTCAACTGTAATAAAAAAAGATCACACAACTTACTTTATAAGCTTCATCTTGTTCCGTTTGGTCTGACAATCGATTGGGAGATAGTAGACGAGGGTTTGGAAAGAAAAAATACATAAGAATATAATGTTCTAATTCGCCAAAAATTGTCTGCATTAAATGTATGCAGTATTTATTTAGACACGTAAACATTGGTACAAGGAGGCACAAAACAGATATGCGCCACATAACTCACTTAATTTGTGTGTAGGCTGTGATATTCTGACAGGATGCCCAACCCGAAACAGGTGGTCTTCTAAGGGGGGCCACACCCAGAGCCTTTAACCAAAAGGTCTAATCCACAAAGCAGTGAAATACCATAAGGAGATGCAGTCCCATGGTAGCCGGTGACCAACAATAGTCAATCAGTAACGACGTAGAACTTCGTACGTACGTACATCAGTTCGAGTTGCCATACAACATTACCATACAGATACAATTGTCGATTCAAATCTCATAGTGGTACAGGTAGTAAAAGTATAAGCAGTAATCGGAAACATTAGGGTTTGAAGATGTTATTCAAGGAGTATAATCCAGTGAAATAAATTTAGAAAGAGAAAAAAAGAGACATGAAGAATTCAGAAGATTAGGATTTGGGAGAACACAAAAAGTAAATGTCATTTGTTTCCTTAGGATCCTGGAGCCCATGTACACCACTGGTTTGAGATGAGGGTTCTCCAACTCCCCTAGGTGGATCCTCTGTATCCACCAAATGTATGCAGAAATATAACCCTTTATATCTAGGACTCAACTTTAAAGAGGAAAACACAGAGAAGGTGACATTTTGCACACGTCAAGTTACAAGATCTATTCAGAGGATATTAAACGTCATCAAGTTACATTTGATCTTCACAAATGAAACAGTACTTAAACAGAGAATTAAGACTAGCTTATTGATGACAGACTCTTTCGTGTGTATATATATATATATATATATATATATATATATATATATATGCGAAATGAACTGTTCTTGTGAAACTAGTGACATAGTCTATACACACATGACTTTATCCCTGGGTGCTTGTGAACATGTATTGGAATGGTTCAGAAAGATGTTACGAAATCTATTATTAATAGCCCTCCCATTGTTTTTCATTTAGTACGTGTTAGTGAATATCATATTGAAATAGATGAAGATTTCTCAACAGTCTATTGTTATTACTTCTTCATATCCACTAAATAAATAATTATCTCTCCTCAACAAAATATGTTAACAAATTTTCATTATTACAGTTTTTAGTCACGAACTGATTTTAGCTAGACTACCCTTGAAAATCTAGAAGCGCTGAACGATCACTTCGTCCTAGTATGGGACTCCTCATTGGTAGTGCACATCCACAACTATGCACCCAAGGATTATATGCAGTACCTCCAGCTTCACAAACGAATACCATTCAGTCGGCAACAAACGGTAGAATATATCCGACTCCAATGAATGGTAAAAACGTTAAATACCGATGGCCTTGAGTTGGCCAATCAGAATCAAGATAACGTCTGATGTATTCTGCGTGAAATTTGAGCATAGTCAGTTGGTAACAAACAATTCTATTGGGTGATAACTTTAACTCGCAAAATTAGTCCGACTCCCACTATGTAAACTTGGCCGTTTCCCTTTATTATAAAGGATAATTTGATATGTGAGAGTTAATTATTTAAATCAAAGTTGTTATTACGGTTTGTATTTATGATTGTCTTGTAAATGGGAAGTGTTTTTTTTTATTGGCTGATAAGTTAACCAACATTGCCAGTGTAGTATACTTGAACGCAATAAACTTATGACATTATACAGCCCCCGAATGCCCTGGTACGGCCGAGAGTGGGAAGAATCCGCTCTCCTTCTCGAAATGCTCTCACATGGCCACGCGTACATAGCCTCTGCCAGGGAAGTTCCACTCATTGCCTTTCCGTGGCTGGGGGGTTGTTTACAAAATTGAGAGGATGAAAAGCGTATGTCCGGCGCTTTAACCGGGTTGGTAGACATAGAGTCCATCTAGGGGAGTTGGAAAACCCTCATTCCAAACCAATGGTGCACATGGGCTCCAGTATCCTGAGGGAAAAAATGGCGTATAAACCAGTCGTTGGTCACCGGCTACCATGGGACTGCATCTCCTTACGATGCTCCACTGCCTTGTGCATCAGACCTTCAGGTCGAAGGCTCCGGATGTGGCCCCCTAAGAAAACCACCTGTTTCGTTTTGGACACCCGGTCAGTATCACAGCCCTCACACATACCAAATGAGATTTATGTGGCGCATATGTATTTGGTGCCTCCTTGTACCAATATCTATGTGTTAAAATAAATAATAAATAAATAAATGATATTATACAACTATCTACTAATAACCGAGGTGGATCATTGTCTACTAACACCTGACACAATTGAACTTCATTGCTTATGGCTTTATTAAGTGTTAGATCATTACATAACCTTCTTTGTATAACTAGTATTTCTAATCAATTTATTAATTCCTTCTTAATGTTCTTCAACTTGACAATTATCTCCTATCTTTAATTTGTTTCTATTTTGACCTATTACATAATTTTTTGTTGTTGAATAATTGAAGGCATTTTAGATGGGTGATACAATATTTTTCTATTTTATTATAGACTAATGTATTCAAACTAATTATACGGTATTGTTGGAGAGAAAATTCCCTATGCTGAATTGTTTACCTAAGTTCACACACAAGACCGAAAGTCCTGGGTTTGAGTACCGTATTAGGGATCGTGGATGAGCACTACTGAGGAGTCTCGTACTAGGACGAGACGGTCGTCCAGTATTTCCAAGTTCTCAATGATGGTCTAGTTTAGATCGAATCATAAATTCAATTATTAAAATAATTTGTTTGTTTGACTGCTATTCACTTTCACGTTCAATGAATTGTTATCCGAAATGAGAATGTAGTTGGTGGGTTGATAAAATTAGTCTCGTTATAAATGACTGTACCACCTACTCACATTATTTCATTCCCCATCACCACGTGTTGGGTATGCCTGAACATCGATTACCACGACGCGCAATACTGATTAGTGTTGGGGATCGTTGGAAGAAAGTTAGTGGAGGCCAAACCAAAACGTGGCATTAATGCTTGAAGTCAATAACTTCTGGTCTCGGCCATGTTGGTAGATGCAAACTACTTGTTTGAGGGTCCTTGTAACAATTGTAACCAATGGTTGGAGACTCTAGGTGACATGGCTCAAAATCGATCACAATGGCGTCGGTGTATACACTCTCTGTCTTCCCTTAAACTAAGAGATTAAAATCGCTTCATATCTTTCTTTCTACGCACTAATTCTTTCTTCCTGTACTATATCCTTATACACAATCTTTCTTTCATATATTACCATCATTGAATTAACTACTTCTATGAATCCGGTGTTAATTTTGTTGTGCTAATGCGTTATGGCAACTTGTACCGGTACATATATGTGCCTGGTCCTACGTTGTAGCTGACTGACTAATCCTATCACCAATCGTTCGATAATGAATCTTTATTGACTGAGGTAGCTTAGATGTGTGTTATGTATATTAAACCACTGTTTTCTTCAACGTTCATTGTCGACTAAAGTAGGAGTAAATATGAGAAGAATTAGAGGGAGCTAAACCAAAGCAAAACAAAACGAACCAACTTGGTATCAACCAATGAAATTATTGACTGTCAATTTGTTTTATACTAGTTAGTACTTAATACCTAGTTAGAGTCTAAAAGATAACTGTGAGTAATGTTCGAATACATTCAATATTTCAAAGTTATTCTCTAGTGAGTCAATAATTTCTACAAAATTACTTAAGGCTATATCGAGGCAATCCATACAAGATGCATATATGCCAACATGAGACTGATCAATTGCAGTCCTAAATAACAATCAGTAGGTACAAGTAAAACAACATCAAGTGAATTTAAACTTCATCCCATTGCACAAGCCAATGGCTATCAGGACTCAGTAGCAACTAAGTGGATAACGCGATGGCGTTTGAAGCGGACAGTACTGGGTTCGACTCCCAGAGTGAACATCAACTCTGAGGTGCAGGCACATTCAGCTGACGAGTCCTAAATAGGACGAAACGCGAGTCCTGGATGCCACTATCCATCTTTACTCAAAAAGAGCTTGTGACTTAAGGCTATACCGAGGCAATCCGTACAGGATACACATATGCCGACATGAGACTGATCAATTTCATTCCTTAATACCAATGGGTAGGTACAAGTAAAACAACACCAAGTGAATTTAAATTTACTTTAGATTGCATTCAATATATGCATGAAACTTACCCATCTCATCATCAACATCGTCATCAATATTCTGTTGTTGACTTTTATGCAAAGTAGTGTGTTTTTGGTCGACTTGTTGTAATAATGATGATGATGATGATTGTTGTTGTCGACTAAGTACACCATCTGAAATCGGTCTGTTTTTAGCATTCAACTTAGCTAAATGAATACGCCAAACTGTATTACAATTACGTATACGATAAGATAATTCACGATTACATAACATTAAGAAACCAAGTGATGTTAATCGTAAATAACACAATATTTCACACTAAAAAAAAGAGCAGATGACATGAAATGATAAGTAGGAGATTTATGAACGGAACATGCTATTGAAAGGAGTCAACCATGAAATTACTCTCAAGGCTTTGGCCTATATATTCTTGTCGAAGTCAAAAGGAGAATCACATATGTATATACATTGTGCACACATTAGATCTTGATTGGGTAATTAAACCTTTCTGATCTTTTGCATAGTGAATTTGGTATACTGTGGGAAGTGAATATAATAATTGAATCGAACTTAATGATACAACAAATGGACACAATTCATATGTTACCCTATTGAAACTATTTATCAAAAGCATTGGCATATTATGTTCATAGTTTTTTGTTCCATACTATTTCACAACTAAGAAGTGTTCCCTGAGTACGACAGTGCGCATACTAATTTAAAAAGGCGTGATTTTACATAAACAACACGGAAATGTTAGTAAAATCATTTGATATTGTAGACAGTTTCCACTATAGATTGATCACATTTTGGATGTTGTCAACAATTAGGGAGCACTGAAAAACTGTTTCGTTTCAGTATCAGATCCCTCGGCAATACACACTCACGATCCCAATGATATTCAAATCTAGGATCTTTATGTTTCGCAGTGAACGCCTGCTATGTTTGAAAAGATTACAAGTTCACCTAATTCTGCGAATGGAACAAAGACTTAGTGACACAATGACCAAATAAGCTAACTATTCCGATGCGTCCCAACTCCGCTAACTACAGAGAGAAGTCCAGGTTTAGAAAGGGGTGAATGTATTCCACAAGCAGCTAGAAGCACGAACAACAATCACAAGCACAATTCAAGCGTATATATACAGCATAAGAATGTCCTTGACAAAAGTTCATATTAAAAGAGACAACAAATTAATGACATTTAAGATCCTCCTAAGTGAGAAATACGATATGAAGGTGAAAATGGGCGTCTTTTGGCCCGAAAACAAGAAATTCAAAGTTCCGAAATAAAATTACAAAAATAAGACACCTACTAAGTGTGTCACTCTCGTGCCAGGCGCTTAACCAACTAGACCACTGAGCCGGCATCCAACGGTGTTAATGTCTAAATTGAATTAATCCACGAAATTGAGCGACACACCCACCATTGCCATCAGTGAGTTACTACCTCGCAACTGACCCGTTTATAGCAGACTTTAGCATGACTGTGACTGATTAGTATAAATGAAGTGGAATGGATTTTTGGGAGAGACTACGATATGTTAACGAACCAATCAGATTTAAGATAACAGATCTTGGATTTTGGCGCGAAATTCACTCATCTATATGGATAAATAAAGTTTTGGCATAATAGCTGATGTTAATTTGTGATGAAAACCCTAATTCTAATTTCTAACCTTAACAATCAATTGTAAATTATAATCCTTATTCTTTATACAGGTTTATAGCCTTCATGTCAGTCCTAGTACATAAATGGACATTCTCAAAGTTACACTAGCGTCACATAAAGGTTATCCATTAATGACAGTCTCACTGACCGTACCACATAAATGAATATTATGTATATATGTATATATCAATCACTTACAAATAATTCACTTGGAAGAGTACATAAATGAAGTCTTGGAGATAAATTATATTCTGAAAAAATATAAAAACGAAGATGGAATACAAAAAAAAAAAACATACATAAAAATTCCTTGAACGTAAGACCTTCAAATCAAGTGACAAACATTATTCACAGCAAGATCATCGATGAGAATTCTGAAAGAGTTCCATATTAGAATAAAAACAAGTTTTCTAATATTCTCTGATTTAAATGATGTCCCAATCTGTGACAAATACAAACAATGAAATACTCACAGTCCTATTTCATGCCCCCCCCAATGCTCTGGTATAGTCAAGAGTGGGGGGAGTTATATCTCCCTCTCGAAATACTCTCACATGACCATGTGCATACAACCACTGTCAGGGAAGTCCTACTCACTGTCTTCTCGTGGTGGCGGTGTTGTTTACGAAGTGGAGAGGATGGAAAGAGAGTGTCCGGCGCTTTAACCGGGTTGGTGGACACGGAGGCTTTACCTGGGAAACTTGGAAAACTCTCATTCCAAACCAATGGTGCACATGGGCTCCATCATCCTAAGGGAACAAGTAGCGTATGAACCAATTTTTGGTCACCGGCTTCCACGGGACTGCATCTCCTTACGATGCTCCACTGCCTTGTGAATTAGACCTTTAGGTCGAAGGCTCGGGGTGTGGCTCCCTAAGAAAACCACCTGCTTCGGTTGGGGTACCCGAGTAGTATCGCAGCCCTCACACATATCAAATGAGATTTGTGTGGCGCATATGTATTCGGTGTCTCTTTGTACTAATATTTATGTGTTTAAATAAATAATAAGGTGAACAGAAATGTAACAAAATGGTTTCATTTTCACCTCATTCGGATTATTTAAAGCTAAATTGTGTTAAAAAGGGGAACGAAACAAGTCATTTTCTTTGAATATGGTCTTATATTGTAAATTATTATTACCAATTCTCTCTCTTGCTGCCTGTTATCCGCTTATTTATTTACTTAAACACATAAACATTGGTACAAGAAGGAACCAAATATATATGCGTCACACTTCACCATCGATTTCTATGAGCAATGGAATGCTGCCCGGGTACTTAAACGGAAGTAGGTGATTTTCTTAAGGGACCATCCCCCGAATCCTTGACCTAGAAGTCTAATTCACAAGGTAGAGAAGTGACATTAGGAGATGGATTCTCATTGTGGCCGGTGACCAACAATAGGTTCATCATACGCCAGTTGTTTCCTTAGGATTCTGGAGCCTACGTACACTGTTAGTTTGGAATCAGGGTTTTCCAACTTCCCCAGGTGGTAAGTCCGTGTCCACCAACCCGGTTTAAGTACCGGACGTTTGCTTTTCGTCCTCCCAATTTCGTAAACAACACTCCGCCACAAGAAGGCTATGAGTAAAACTTCCCTGACAGTGGCTGTATATGCATGGCCATGTGAGAGAATTTTGAGAGAGAGAGAGAAAGAATGAACTTTCCCCACTCTCGGCCATACCAGGGTAGAGATGTGTATTCAATGTTTGTCTTCCTTTAAATTCTAAGTTTTGAAAATTACTTTGTACTTTTAATTTAATGAACTAATCCACTCCGCTAAAAGCATATTCCCTAGGTTCAATTTTTTTTCTACTACTACTGCTGATGTTTCCACAACTCATCTTGACAATTTTATCACATCATGTGCTAGAGCAGTATGATAACTTGAACCGATTCATATGTGGAAAACGTCTTATATTGCTTATTACTAACATACACCATTTACGGTTGTACAGTTTTTAAAATAAACCACACACCCGAATTTCTCTCTCTGTCGTCTGTCGGTTATTTTCAATGAAAGTTTTTGTAAATTCCTTGCTGAAGTCTTCAGTAACTAAGAAAAAGTTTAAAAAATACATCACCCAATCAACATCCAGTGGAAAGTTCCTAGAAACCTCTGGAGAAAGTGATGAGTTATATATCATATTCTTATTAAATGAATACCGACTTAAGCTTCTAAAATACCAAGGTTACATATAAAACCCATAAATATTCTTGTTTTCTGTACTCAAACTATTTATTTATTTTGACACATAGATATTGGTACAAGGAGGCACCAAATACATATACGCCACACAAATCTCATTCGACATGTGTGAGAGCTGTGATACTGCCCGGGTACCCAAACCGAAGTAGGTGGTTTTCTTAGAAAGCCACTCCCCGAGCCTTCGACCTGAAGGTCCGATGCACAAGGCAGTGGAGCATCGTAAGGAGATGCAGTCCCGTGGAAGCCGGTGACCAACAATTGGTTCACACGTCAGTTGCTTCCTTAGGATCCTGGAGTCTACGTACACCGTTAGTTTGGAATCTGGGTTTTCCAACTTCCCTAGGTGGCAAGTCCGTGTCCACCAACCAGGTTAAAGTACCGGATGTTTGCTTTTCGTCCTCTCATTTTCGTAAACAACACCCCCGCCACGAGAAGTCAGTGAATAGGACTTCCCTGGCAGAGGCTATATACGCGTGGCCATGTTTGAGCATTTCGAGAGGGAGAGCGGACTCTCCACACTCTCGGCCGTACCAGGGCATTTGAGGGCACTCAAACTAGTCTTGAAAGTAGAAATTCTCTTCATTCCCCCCTATCATTTAGCTTTTGCTCAAAGTTCAAATGGTAAGAGATTTGTAGGGGACTATTAAGGAAATAATTAAAAAGTTAATGACGTTAATGGGGAAGACTATAATTTATGAACGAATCAACCAGATTTAAGATAACAGGTCTTGAATTTCAGCGCGAAATTCACTCATCCATTTAGATAAATAGAGTCCTAGCATTATAGCTGATGTTAGTTCGTGATAGAGACCCTAAATTCAATTCTTAACCCTAATCATCAACTATAAATCATAATTCTAATTCCTCACACTGGTTTATAACCCTTATTTGGTCCTATTTAGTAGGTGAAGATTCCCAAGGTCAGTTTGGCGTCGCTCGAAGATCGTCCATACATTATAATCTCACCATGTTAAACATTTATATACTAAATGAATTAAAGACGGAAATATTAAAAAAGAAAACATTTATCTACCTGAATGAATAGCCAGTAGTATAGGTTCAATTAATTCATCTTTAATTCGTATAGATAACAATCGTAAATGTCTGTATAGAAGATTTAACTTATTCGTAGTAGCTAAATTAAGCATACATACAGATGGAGAGAGACACACAAAAGGAGGATCGTTAGAAAAGATACAAGTTATGAAAAGGAATAGGCAACTAGAAAGACAAATAATACAACGTATAAACCAAGTTTGTCTTTTCAATCCAATGGGAAATACTCTAAAAAAAAAACTCGAAACGGAAAGGGATCACTGAAACGATCTTAGAGAGGTTCCTGTTTATTTAATCGTTCTACACCAAACCCTTAGACAATAAATGGGGTCCCTTCAACCCTAATGTCTCGTTAATAGTTTTACTTAATGAATTGAATGAATGAAATCACATTAGATAATCATAATAGTTTATCATCTTACTAGAATATAAAACAATATCATAAGTATTAGTTATTTCATAAACAAACAAAACAATATTGTAGGGCATCTAATCTCTTAATCTTGTGTATTGATAAACTTAAATGTGTGAAGTTTTGAAAAGTGATGTTGTAATGTAGCTAAGTTAAAGAAATGAACTCAGTCAGTGTTTTGAATTTCAGCTGGAATAAATATCAATGGATCGACTTCTAGTTCTAAGGTGTTCATGTGTAAACTTTTTCTGTCTTGATGACATTATTAGTCTTAGTCTGTAATATTAGATCTCGATAGTTGTTGCTACCCTGACGTGATGGCACGGCTTGCCTATCGTGATGAATCAACCGAGGTATGCTGGCTGGAACAACCGTTCCTCAAGGTCCTACCATGCCAGACAGGTCGGTTGAAGAGCGGTAAGACTAAAAGCAACAAACCTAAGGTCCAAAGGCGAAGTCGTACAGAGGTGTGACAACAGTAAGGTGTTTCCTTCAGACAACCAGCATGACAGCGATGCTACCTTCCTACAATGACGGTTGAGGTTAGAAAAGGTCGATCCTAAAAATGCACACCTCGCCTTATCCCACAGATATCCGTCTCCGGCGGTAAGATCTCAACAAGTACGGAGCTAACACGAAAATTACTCACAAAAATGTCGTATGTGACCGACCTCAAACAGTTGTCCATTGGGCACTGAGGTCACACTATCAGGTCACTAAGACCACCTCTAATTCAATTTCCTTCTCAGGTACCTCCAGAAGAACCCTTCCACGGTGTGGGTAACCGGGAAGTGATAACTGCCCTTATATCTCTAACAGCACTCAAGACCACCGACTGACTGTATTATTAGATGATTAGAGGTAACCAGTGAGAAACCCTACTTGATTTAGGTTTGATCCTAGTTAGCACTTGTCATCAAGACAAACTTGAAATCTTGAAGGAGTTAATGCTCTATGTGAGATTTAAAAACCTGTTATCCAGCTTTACAGTCTGAAATAACAACGCCATCGAGTTATCCGGTCCAGGGATGAGTACTAATTAGCGATCAATCAAACGTATTTTACGATTCATTAACACTGAATTTGAATATAGTTATTCAATATTATTTGAAGTGAATGATAGTTAAGTTGGTTGAAAACTCATTATTTAAAGATTGTTTCACTTACAATACTCTTTCAACAAAAAAAGAGACTAAATCATGGGGTCAGTGATACCAGGATGGAATATCCTGGCGGTTGGTTACTCAATGGATGCTCAAACTAGAACACATTATTTGAACAATTTTCAACTAATCAGTTTTAGTAAATGGATTGAGCTACTTCTGTGAATCCCACATAAACTCTTTGATTTTTACTACCAATAACTTCTCCTGGAGCCCTTAGAAAGCTAATGCCAGTCCAAAACCCAAGTAGAGAATACCTGGGAATAGGGTTAGCAACCTTATTCGATAAAAAAGGTAACCAGAAAAATCCTTTAAACCAATTGAAAATGCAGACGTTCACCATTTCTAACATGTAACATAGACAAATTCATTAATACATGCCTTATTTCTGGCCTTTGCAAAATATCACAGAGTAATTATGAACTTATTTATTTATTTCAACACGAAAACATTGGTACAAGAAGGAACCAAATATATATGCATTACACTTTACCATTCAATTTGTGTGAAAACTGGAGTACTGCCCGGGTACCTAAACGGAAGTAGGTGATTTTCTTAGGGGACCATTCCCCAAGTCTTTGACCCAGAAGTCTGATTCATAAGGTAGAGGAGCGACATTAGGAGACGTCGTCTCAAGGTGGCCGGTCACCAACAATTGGCTCATACGCCATATTCTCCCTCAGGATACTAAAGCCTATGTACACCACTGGCTTGGAATGAGAGTTTTCCAACTCACCTAGATGAACCCTCCATATCCACTAACCCAGTTGAAGTGCCGGACATTCTTTTTTCGTCCTCCCATTTTCATAAAAAACACCCCCACTGCGATTAGGACTTCCCTGGAATTGGCTGTCTACGCGTGACCATGTGAAAGCATTTTGAAAAGGAGAGCGGACTCTCTCCACTATCCATCGTACCAGGGCATTTGGGGGCCTGATGATGAAGTCATTGTTCAGCCAAATATTCTTTGTTATTCAACATTTGTATGGAACAAAAACGTATAAAATGCTTTTCGAAGATAAGGATAATAATATCTACATGCAAAAAAAGTCTGTTAACTACTGAAAACTGATTTTGACATACATTTAACACAAAGAAAACATATCAAAATACTAACTACATCATATCCCCTTTAAAAAAGGGAATACTATGACGAAAGATTCACTTACATTGGTGTATGGCATCTTGCTTGATAAGATAAAGTTTTGTTTGTAAAATTAATTGTTTTCGAATAGGAAGATCTTGAACACTTGCTTAAAGAGAATAGAAATGTAACAAAGAAAAAAACAGAGATATGGCATTACTACTAGTACTTTAAAGAACGAGTACACATGTGGAGACAACAGTCAGTCAGCAACAACGTAGAACCTCTTACGTACGTACATCAGTTCGAGTTGCCATAACACATTAGCACACAGATGCAATTGTCGATTCAAATCCCATAGTGGTAGAGGTAGTAAAAGTATTTTGGTAAAACATGAAAACCATAGATTCAATACTTTATTTGCAAATCCTACATCAATTGTCTCAATTTTCATCGTTCCTTCATTGTTATTACAATTACTGTCTGTTCTCATTCTCATCGATTCGATCTTCTCAGCCTTCTGCTGCCAGGCATTCCACTTCTGACTAGCGTTATATGTTACTTATGTCGACATAAGTAGCATAAACCACATTGCCACTACTGGATACAAAATAATGGTTAGGTAGTGTTACAATATTTTAGCTATCTGGTTAGATTTCCCGAGATGTTAGAATTCTTTGTTTTAAATGATATAAGTAATATAATGTAATTCACAAGTTACAATGGCACAGATCAATTTTCTCAGTATATTCCATTTCATTTGGATTTACTTATATTTTTCTTCTTAACTGGTTTACTGTTGATTCTGTGCTCTCTGTTGTGACCTTTCTACATCCAGTAAAACGTACGGGAGTCATCTGTTGAATCTCTTCAACAAGTGTTCAAGGATAATTGAAGCAAACAGTTACTATTATCAGCTAGTTCGCCTGGGGCGTCAAAAGACCCACGTAAACGTTGTTCAGCTTGAATTGTTCTACCTACTTAGGGATAAAAAACCAACGATTAAGATTAGTACGTTTCTGAAGGTTAAGAGCTTCTTATAAAATTCAATGTTTACTTTCTTAGTGATGCAGTCAGCAGAGTCGTAGGTAGGGATGGAGAAAAGATAACGAGGTGTCTCCAACTTTTTGAGTTTGTAGAGGAGTCTCATAAGATAAGGAATAATATTTCAAGACTTGAAATTCTTAACATTCATAGCACGTATGAAGCAAGTCGAAGACAGGGGAGGAGGAGGGCTAATAGTGGAAATAAAAGAAATAATACGAAGTGAATAAGGATATTCGTTTTGAACATGAGCTTGAGTGCTTATCGCCCTACTGCTATTTAACCGACTGTCCTAGAATGGTATTACTTCTGAAAAAAGACACAGTATATATCGACTGCACTGATAGGCAAACCTGATCATCACGTAAATTTAGCAGCTACGACCGAGAAGAAGTTGTATGACGAGTAAATTTTGAACTTTATACACATATTCATCGTATCATGTTGGTCTGATATAGGGACTTGGACTAATATACATTTGTGTCAGAGTCCATTGGTGATTACCACTGATTAATTTAAGTAACATAATTAATCGAAACTGATAGGTTATGGGTTGGAATCTCGTGAGGTGGGATCGGGGATGTGCGCTGCTGAGGAGTCCATACTAGGACGAAACGGCGCCCAGTGCTTCCAGGTTTTTCATGGTGGTCTAGCCTCGACTGACTCATAAAATCAATCATTAAAATTACTATAATATTCAAAAAGCCCTCTCTGATTATAATCATTATATGCTCACTAGTGACGGCGAAAAAATAATTTATAGATGAGCCAATCACAAATAAGATAACAGGTCTTGGATTTTGGCGCGAAATTCACTCATCCATTTGGCTAAATAAATTTCTTGCATTATAACTGATATCAGTTCGTGATGAAAACCCGAAATCTAATTTTTAACCTCAACTGGTCTTAGTTATCAGGTGAACACCCTCAAGGTCATTTTAGCATCGCCCAAAGGTCGTCCATAAATTATAGTCTCACCCTAGTGACGATCCCCGATAGGTATTTTCCGGAGTTCTAGTGAGAAATAGTGACTAGTGGAGTTCAACCAGGTCTGTTGTGAGATAGTAACTCACTGATGACAATGGTGGACGGTGGTGCAACTTTATGGATTGGTTGAAGTTAGACATTAACACCATTGGATACCAGTTTAGTGATCTGGAGGTTAAGCGCTCATGAGGTAGAATCGTGGATGCACACTGTTGAAAAGTCCTATACTATGACAAAACAGCCATTCAATGTTTCCAGGTTTTCCATAGTAATCTAACTTCAATTGATTCATGAATTCAACTATTAAAAATCACTTATAATATCCACAAAAACCCCTCCTCTGATTATAGTCATCATATACACACTAGACCCCCGAATGCCCTGGTACGGCCGAGAGTGGGGAGAGTCCGCTCTCCCTCTCGAAATGCTCAAACATGGCCACGCGTATATAGCCTCTGCCACGGAAGTCCTACCCACTGCCTCCTCGTGGCAGGAGTGTTGTTTACGAAAATGAGAGGACGAAAAGCGAATGTCCGGCGCCTTAACCGGATTCCAAACCAATGGTGCACAGGGACTCTAGTATCCTGCGGGAACAAATGGCGTATGAACCAATCGTCGGTCACCGGCTACCATGGGACTGCATCTCCTTACAATGCTCCACTGCCTTGTGCATCAGACCTTCAGGTCGAAGGCTCGGGGAGTGGCCCCCTAAGAAAACCACCTGCCTCTGTTTTGGGCACCCGGGCAGTATCACAGCCTTCACACATATCAAATGAGATCTGTGTGGCGCATATGCATTTGATGCCTCCTTATACCAATATCTATGTGTTAAAATAAATAACTAACTAAATAAATAAAATATACACACTAGTGACGGTCTTCAAGAGATATTTTCCTGAAGTTGTAATAAGAAGCCATGACTAGTGAAATCCAATCAAGTCTGTTGTGACATAGTAACTACTCACTGATAAAAAATAAAGTAGTATAAAATCCATAGAAATTTACCAGCAATACAAGTCATATTTCCATTTTGAAATAATGTAAATATCAATTTAATAGAATCAACTTGAGGATAATTAAATGTCAAACGTATAATTGATGACATCTCCTGATAGTATTGACTTAGATGATCTAAAGTCTAAAGAAAAAACAAAAAAGAAGGTTAATATTACACATAACATGATCATATACTTACATATAAACCTTTCTCAATAGCGAATATATACAAAGGAATAGCCATTAATAGAATAGATGTATAATGTTGATCATTAGATAGATTATCATTGATGAATTTCAGAATAGGTGTAGCTAACTATTAAAAAAAAGAAATAAAGTATATAATGAAATAATCATGGAAACTATACTTCAATTTCTAAGGATTGTTTTATATCATCTAATTTTTCCAATGAACTAATATAGATTATATCACCGTTAACAATACCAAGTTCTGATAGAGATTGATTTGAATAATTTAGATTATAATAATCTTTTGCATTAAGACTTATTTGAACATTTTCTCTGAATAGATAAAAAGAAAGAAAGAAAACAAAAGTATCCATATAATTATTGAGTCATAATGAACATTTGAAATGTGATAACCGTTAGTTAGAATAAATAATGTCCACAAGTGTCCTGATATGACCGAGAGTGGGGAAAGTCAGATCTCTTTCTCAAATGCTCTCAAGTAGCTACGTGCATACAACTACTTCAAGGGAAGTCCTACTCACTGTCTTCTCGTGGCATTACTGTTGTTTATGAAATTGAAAGGATGAAAAGCGAATATCCGGCGCATTAACCGGGTTGGTGGAGACGGAGGGTCCATCTGGGGGAGTTGGGAAACTCTCATTCCAAACCAATGGTGTACATGTGCTCCAGGATCCTGAAGGAAAAATGGTGTATGAACCTATTACTGGTCACCAGCTGCCATGAGATTGCATCACCTCGATGTTACTCCACTGCTTTGTGGATCAGACCTTTAGGTCAAAGGCTCGGAGTGTGGCCCCTAATAAAACCACCTGCAGTGGGGTTAGGCAGGGTTGCTCAATCTCACCATTCCTCTTCAACTTTGCCATCGATGACATTCTGGAAACAGCTCTAATGGATGCAAGTAATGGTGGTGTGGATCTGTTGTCTGGAGAAATACTTCTCGACCTTGAGTATGCGGATGATATTGTCTTACTGTGCGATAATGCCCAAGGCATGCAATCCGCACTTAATCAGTTGGCAATCAGTGTCCGTAGGTATGGTATGTGCTTTGCACCTTCGAAGTGCAAAGTACTTCTACAAGACTGGCAGGATTCTGATCCTGTACTCACCCTGGATGGTGAGCAGATAGAAGTAGTCGAGAAGTTCGTGTATCTGGGTAGCTGCATAAGTGCTGGTGGGGGTGTGAGTGATGAGATCAATGTACGTATAGTGAAAGCCAGAGTGGCTTATACCAATCTGGGCCATCTTTGGCGCCTTCGTGATGTTAGTCTGGCTGTAAAAGATCGGATCTACAACGCGTCAGTGAGAGCATTTTTATTCTACGCTTGTGAAACCTGGTCTCTCCGAGTTGAGGACGTTAGTATCCAAACCCTTACACAAATCGAATAATTTATGTGGCGCATACCTGTTTGGTGCCTTCTTGTACCAATGCTTATGTGTCTAAATAAATAAATAAGAATAAATAATACTCGAACATGACACATATTTTTGTCCTATCTATTCATTTATTTGGATAAAAATATTGGTACAAAGGGTCAGTGAATACATATACGTCAAACAAGTCACTTGAATTGTGTGTGAGCTGTGGTACTCTGCTCGGATGTCCAGACCGGGGCAGGTGGTTTACTTAGGGAGCCACACCCGGAGCCTTCGACCTGAAGATCTGACCCACAAGGCAGTGAAGCAGCGTTAGGAGATGCAGTCCCATGGAAGCCGGTGATCAATAATTGGTTTATACGCCATTTATTCCCTTAGGATACTGGAGGCCATGTGAACCATTGGTTTGGAATCAGAGTTTTCCAGATCCCCTAGAAGGATCCTCCATATCTATATCCTATCAGCCCAAAATTTTTTCGAGCCATTACAAAATGTAGAAGACTGACAAAGCAATAATAAAACTGGGATTAGATTTTCATGAGTCATACTAGGACAACGACAACTACAGATATTATTATATGGAAGTGCTCAAAGAAGAGCAATGAAAACGGTAGCTACAACCGATTGAATGTGACCAATTATTGAAAAGAGTTCAATACAATGGCACTTGGGTTTAGAAACTATTTACGATTTAAGCTTGTGCATTCAATACCGGAAATGACAGACATTTGATTAACGTTTTGTGATGTTCATACATCTTCCAACTAGAATTAATAAAACCATAAAGAATTTAAGCTTTTTTAATCAACATATCAAGGCAATATGTAACGGAATGCATATTGACTAGAGGGATGAAAACAGTTGTATTGCATGAAGTTTAGACCTTTATGTGTAATCACTTTTTAGATCTTGATAGCCTTCATTTCTAGACTAGTAACTCATTTCAGCCTAGGTTTTATGAGAATGTTGAACAAATATTGTACTGTAGTATGATAATGATTCACGTTTTTAACGTCAGCCAAAACGTGATTGATGTATACGCTCTTCAGTAGTGTTTTATAACATTAACAGTACTATGCATAACTACAAGTACTTATCCAAAAATGCAAAGGAGAGGAATGGAAGCGGCAGTTGTAACCAATTGAATGTAAAAAAAGAGAACAATAACGAAGAGATTGGTGTAAGGTAGTGTAGTAATAATGAGGGGACGGAAAGGTACCATCAGAAGAAATCTTTCAGTTAAGGGAGACACAACCACTTTTTATGAAGAAAGTAAAAGAAGGTTACAGCAGGATCAGTCAGTCAGTCAGTAACAACGTAGAACTTCGTACGTACGTACATCAGTTCGAGTTGCCACACCACATTAGCACAGAGATGCAGTTGTCGATTCAAATCCCATAGTGGTAGAGGTAATAAGAGTATAAGCAGTAATCGGGAAAATTAGGGTTTGGAGATGTTATTTATAGAGTATAATCCAGTGAAATAAATTTGGAAAGAGGAAAAAAGGGGCATGAAGAATTCAGAAGATTAGAATTTGAGAGAACACAGAGAGTGGATGCACCTGCGCCATTGCAAACGATTTTGAGCCATGTCATTCAGGGTCTCTAACCATCGGTTGCTATCATCTCGCGGTTCCAACCAGATAGTCTACACCTACCAACATGACTCAGTCCACTTGTCAGTGACTTCATGGACTTGTGCCATGTTTTGGTTTGGCCGCCCCTAGCTTTCTTCCAACCTACTCCTATACCACTGAACATAGCACGTCGAGGCAGTCGGTCGTTGGGCATACGTAACACGTGTCCCAGGCATCTCAACTGATGAAGTTTCACTACTTCATCAATTGATTTGCCATCCTTACCTAGTACCCGTTTCCTAAAACTGTGTTACTTACTCGATGGTCCCATGATATACGAGCAATGTTGCGAAGACACCTATGATCAAATACAGTCAGTCAGTCAGTCAGCTACAACGTAGGACCAGGCACATATGTGCATCGGTCCAGGTTGCCATACCTCATTAGCACAGCAAGATGAACAGCGGATTCATAGGAGTGGTTAGGTCAAAGGTTGCAATAAGGATATAGTATAGGAAGAAAGAATTAGTTCGTAGAAAGAAATATATGTAGCGATTTTAATCTCTTAGTTTAGGGGAAGACAGGGAGTGTATACACCGACGCCATTGTGATCGATTCTGAGGCATGTCACCAAGAGTCTCCAACCATTGGTTACGAAAGTCACGCGGACCCCAACCAAGTAGTCTGCATCTACCAACATGGCTCAGACTAGAAGTTAGTGTCTTCAAGCACTGATGCCACGTTTTGGTTTGGCCGCCCCTAACTTTCTTCCAACCATCCCCTACACCGGTTAGCATTGCACGTCGTGGTAATCGGTGTTCAGGCATACATAATACGTGGCCCAACCATCTCAGTCGATGAAGATTCATAACCTCATCAACTGATTTACCATCATTCCCTAATACCCTGCGTCTAACCTCACTATTACTTACCCGGTGATCCCAGCAGATGCCAGCAATATTTCTAAGGCATCTGTGGTCAAATACTAGTAGCTTACGGGTGTCTTCCACTCTTAAAGGCCATGTTTCGCTGCCGTAAAGTAAGGCAGAACGGACTGCCGCGCAGTATACTTGTCCTCTTATTGATAGACGGATACCTCGCCTCCGCCAAAGGTGACGTAAGTTGGCAAAAGCCAAACGAGCTTTTCGAATTCGTGCTGAGATTTCGTCAGACACCAACCCATTAGGGCTGATCAGACTTCCAAGATAAGTGAAGTTGTCGACGCGTTCGACTACTTCATTCCCTATCCTTAGTTCAGGTGTTGACGCAGACCAGTCCTGAAACAACAACTTGCATTTAGAGGGAGAGAAGCGCATCCCAAACATTCTGGCATTGTTGCTTAGTGCTACCAGAAGACTCTGCATTTTGTCAGCGTCTTCACCAAACAGGACTATGTCATCTGCGTATTCTAAGTCGATAAGTGGACCTCCTGGAAGGAGATCAATACCCGAGAATTCAGTCGACGAGAGTGTTATTTCCATCAATAGGTCTATGATGAAGTTAAACAAAAATGGAGAAAGCGGACAGCCTTGACGGACACCACTTGAAGTTGCAAAAGTAGATGACAGTTCGCCATAAGCTCTGACTCGACTAGTAGTGTTCGAGTAAAGAGCCTTCACAAGGTTTATGTACTTCTGAGGTACGCCTTTCAATGACAGACACTGCCACAGAGTCACGCGGTCTACAGAATCAAATGCTGCTTTTAAGTCAAGAAAGACCACCATCGTCGGACGCCGATAGGTATGCCTGTGTTCTGGAACCTGACGAATGGTGAATATGTGGTCGATGCAGCCACGACCAGGTCTAAAGCCAGCTTGGTTCTCTCGAGTTTGTAGTTCACGAGTCTTAGTTAGGCGTTTGATAATTATCGAGGCCAGTATTTTAGATACTATGTTTGTTAAACTAATCCCTCTGTGGTTGTCACAGGATGATTTTGACCCTTTCTTATATATTGGGACGATAAGTGATTGCGACCAGTCAGATGGGATAAAGTCTAATTCCCAGATCTTAGCTATAATATTAGTCAACCTAATCGCTAAAATTGGGCCACCATCCTTAAAGACCTCTGGAGCCAATCCATCTGGACCAGCTGCCCTTCCTCGTTTCAGATTAACTATAGCCTTTTGAACTTCAGCAGGAGTTCCATTCACACTGTCTGGGAATAGAGGGTAGTTGTACAGTAGCTGAAGGCCAGCTGAACTGTTCTCTAAAATGTTCCGCCCATCGTTCTAAACGCCTGGACTGGGAGCAGATGAGAGTATCGTCTTTTTCCGAAATAATCTCACTTACACTTGACTTATTAATTCCAGTTTCTTTTATTAGTCTGTAAAGCTGTCTCGTGTTCCCTATAGTCGCCGCC